GCCACTCACGAGACCGCATTGGCCGACAAGCGCGACGCAGACATCTTAGTTGAAACTCCACCCGACTGCCACCGCTTCTCTGGGGGCACTCCAGGATGCCACCCGCGAGACCACATTGGCCGCCCAACCTCGACACTCCGCGGTCCAGGTGCCCCAGTATGTGGCCGCCCAAGTGCATCGCTGGATGAGCCGGGAGCCCGGGATCGTGCAACCCCCGGATCCATATTACCCGGATCGGCATCACTGGTCGATGAGGCCTTGGCTCCTAGAACAGAAGGAGACCGTCCGGCACCTCCGGGAAATTGCGTCTGTGGGCAGCCCGGGGCGGCCTTGGACTGCCAATTTCCGGAGTGAATGCCTCTGCTTACCCGTGGTCACCGACCCCGTGGCACTCCAGGTGGACTTGGAGGAATTACGTTTCACTGGTGACGCACGGGACTTTACGTCGGTGATCGCCTCACTCCAGACCATGCTGCACGACGCGGGTTACGCGCTCTTTAACTTAGTACCCACGTGGGGACGCACGCTGAGCCCGGAACGGCTCGCAGCTCAGGACGGGCAGTTCATGTCCGATGCCAGTTTCCTGTGGGGTTAGTTGACGGTCGAACATGTCGCGTGGAATGAGATTGCCCGAGGGCGGCATTACAGTGTACGGCGGGACGATGCCATGTTCCAAACCTTGGACCCCAAGGTCACATCCACCTTCCGGGTCGAAGAGGACGGCGACACCTTGATGCTGACGCCAGAAGTGCAGGAGTTACTGGGAGTGGCAATGGTAACTCGGCTGAGGCTAGCACACGTGCGTCCTCGGGACTGGTCTGACTCCGATACTAGTCGACCAGAACCGAAGCGACGCTGTGGGAGCACCGACGCACCGCTATCCGTGCCTTCGTGGCCGGGCTCGGATGAAGCCACTCGAGTATGGGGAGGACCTATTCCAGAAGTCGTCGGTACTTCCAGCTTCGCTTCTGGGGACGCGCCGATGCTGACCGCCGACGAGAACATGTCGTCCGCAGGAGGAGGGTCCCACGGATCCCCTGGTGTGGGGCCCTCCGCAGCGATGGTCGGCGTGTACATGACCACCGCCGGTACGGGAACAGGACAGCCATATACTGCAGAACAACCGACCCTCTACGTCCCGATCGCCGAGTACCCGCCAAGTCAAGGTGCAAGGCTCCCTCCTCACGCGTCGCCGCCGACGGCCCCGCCGATCCGGGGCGACGGTCCTGGCAGTTCGGAAGAAGAGACCAAATCGGATGCTCCCATGACAGCCCGTGACCGGAAAACAGTCGGGATCGGGACCAGAATTTCCGGGAAGCAGACCGCCAAATATCAGAACTCCGTGCTGCATTGCCAGCTCGGGACGAACCGGAGCGGATCCGGAACGAGGAGTACCGTGCCGCCCGAACGACCCAAGCCACCCAGGCCAAACTCTCTCAGGAAGCATGAGAGTACCGGGAGGCGGAGCTCCAAGAGCGGGCTGCACGGGAAACGGAAAGGAGGAAGGCCTTGGATTACGAATTCGCGAGTCTTCAAGCCAAGGTATACTTACTTGAGAAGGAAAGTGCACAGGACCGGGAAGAAGGTACCCAGCTCCGGGCTGAGGCAGCCCGCCGAATGAAAGAGGTAACCGAGAAGTGCGGTCAAGCAGTTTCCAAATCGACGGCAGCCATAGAAGAGACGAAGTTCCAAGCCGATGAAGAGCTGTCCCGGATCAGACGTGAATTGGAGCGCCAGGCTCAGGAAAGCCGGGCCCGGGCGGCCCGGGAAATCGAACTCCAGGAGGCTCAGTTGGAGGAACTCCGGATGTACCGACATCAAGCCGCTGCGGGGCGCTCACGATGCCAACCGCGGGAGCGTGCGTCCTCCCCGCGCTCGAACGGGAGTGGCTGGGCGAGAGGTGATCGACGGCCCCGACATCGCGACAGCGGTTCGAGGGGAAGCCAGCTGACAAGCGCGCCGGCAGGTAAGAGCGGGGCGCTCACGGAAAGGGAGCCAGAAATGGCTTCTCACGAGGCGACGACACGGACATAGCCGGCTCACGCCCCGTCCACTTCTCACCCGGTCAGCGGTCCGTCTTTCGCCCTCAGTGCCGCTGGGGAAGGCCCTGACCCTCCAAGACCAACACGAAATCCGGCGGCCGCAGGTTTCAATTTTGGACCCAGTTCGCCCGCCACCAGGGCAGCCCCAGCCGCCACCTATGAGCAGATCCTGGGGTCCCACTCTTCAGGCGTGAATCCCAGTTCTGAAGCGCGTGGGAGCACGGGACGAGAACCCCAGCCATATAGCTTGGGGTCGGGCCCGGACTTTTCCCGGCTCTTCCGTGGTCGGCCCCGGGAGACGATTCCCGGAGTGTCGACCGCGGGCAGGTCTGGATTGTCCAGTACCGCACCAACCTGGAACAGCAACTTCGAGAGCGTAGAAGCATCAGCATCCCGACCCGGTGCTTCCCATCCTTGGGGATCCGGAGGCCCGGGAACCTTTGGATTTCCAGCGGCCGGAGGTTACGCCCCTGGGTACGGCGTGAGTTTCCGACCTTTCATCGCCTACGACGGGGTTGAACCTTTCGACATCTCACTCTCGCTGATAAGCGTCGTGCGTGGTGGGGCAAGTTCCAGTACGCGGCCTGCAGTGGAGGTTGGCGGGAGCAGGCGCTATACGCCCGACTTTTTAGTCGGCTTTCACACAACCCGGGCACAAAGGCCTGGGAGCTGTTGCTCGGACCGGTTCTACAAGGAGTTCTGTCGGTCCACAGAGTCTCCGGTTAATTGATACCTGCGTTTAAAGCAAGAGTCCCGGGAAATGCCCCGCCAACGACGTGCAGTTCAGGCGCCACAAGCCACAAAGCGTGGGCCCAGGCATCACTACCCGAGGCGAGGGAGGAGATTATCAAGTGCATTCCCCCAAAGGTTTACAGAACACAAGATATTACCAGAATGATTTAGAAAGAAAATAGCCGAAGTATAAGAGTGGTAAACAGAGTTAGTTTCACCGAGTTAAGCGCAAGTCGAATTCGTTCGGGGCCCGCAAGCGAGGGCGCGGGCCGAAGGACACCGCGTACTTCCTCAGGAGTTTCAAGTCCAAATTGTCAGTGGGGATCGGGCGCGACGGCGTTGCAGAGTTGATCCACGACATTCCATTTACCAGTTGGGCCCATTGAGTGAAGGTAAGGGTGGGGTTCCCATTTCATGTTAACAATTCTGCTTGAAGGGTTTAGTAGTCCCCTGCAAGTTTATAAGTAGACTGCATTTCAGATATTTGATAGTATTGTATCCCTCCTAGAGGGTGGTGCGCGTGAAGAGAAGAGTGCGCTTCAGACTGACCAGTGTCTAAAGTGTATACTCAGTCGACTGGTGATAGACCCCCGTTCAAGGGTCTCAAAGAATAAGTAGCGGCTGTATATTTGTATATTTTACTCTGTATTTTGGCTATCTTACAAGGGAGTTTGTTCTGGGGCTTTATTCATAGTCTAATAAGGGTGCGTTTCAGACAGTAAACTTCCAACCCGACACTCTCAGTACCTACATTAACCACCAACCCGGCAGGTTGTCAGGCTGCCACCAAGATCGAACCCAAAGGGATTCACAAGGGCCACACACCGACTCTGGAGCGTTTACGTTCTAGAGTTTCCGACCCCAGTACCAGAGAGTTCTCTAATTCTCTGGCCCCCTGGGCTACCGCACTATACACTTGCGGCGGAAAAGGTTCACCGACCTCGCCACAAGACCAGGAACTCGAAGATAAACCTGAGATCCCAAGCGCGGGCGGGGGCGGCCCGGGGAATGACGACTCCCCTTCTTCGGATGACGGCCCCACGACACCTCCTCCCTCACTCCCAGGTCTCCTGGCGAAAGCCCTGGTGGTGGTTCTCCGGGGGGGGCTCACCCATCCAGCTACATCCACCGTTATTTCCCGCTGAAGCAAGTATTCCTCATTATTCTGCACTCCAGCACTTCACGGCGGCCAAGATCACTCCGTGGGACCCGATTAAAGTGGGAACTGTGCCGATCATAGCTTCCACTTTGACGAAACGGTTGCCGATCCCGCCCAATTTCCTGTTCCCCTTCCGAAACCCTCTGATCCGGGTTCCCATACCCGGGACCGGTTATCGCTCGGAGTTGATCACCCGTGCCAATGTTTTGGCTCTTATGGCTACGGAGCCATGGCGCATGCTTGGCCAGCGTCCTTCCACTCCATTAACTTTCGATCACAACCTTCACCGGCGAGCGGCGACCCCTCTGTGGCGGATCGCCGTATCGTATGTCGCCCTGGAGGAGGATCCCATGATTGCGTATTGGGAATCGACCCATTATCTCGAGATCACGTCGGTGATGGCCGCCGCGGACTCAGACCTCTTCACCTACCACCAAGATCGGCGTCAGCGACGGATCAGGGCTGGAGAGAGTTGGCGGAAGCTGTTGGGGGATGTTGTGCTAATGATGAGTGCACAGTGGGCCGACATCGACATCCTGCTGGACCCCTATCTCCTCCACCTGCCGACCAAACAGGATCGGGTGCGTTGGTATCCCGGACCGGTCTCCCGGGCGGCCAACCTCACGCAGCCGACAGCGAATCTCCCCGAGCCGACCGACCTGATCACGGTTCTGTTTGAATGTGATCAAGAGGATCCCTGGAGGAATCACTACCGTGATCCCGGTTCTGCTCATTCGTCGCTGAGCATACCTCGCCTCGTGAACAAGTTCAATCATCCGGCGGCCCCCTGATCGACGATCTAGTTCCCACTCTTCGCCCAACTCCGTGATCTCCAACTTCCTACCAGTGATCGCGTTTCTTCCTTGTCGATCTCGTAATTTCCTAATTCAGCCACAACTTCTGCTCGTTTGTTCTTTTCGTCGCCATTCCCTTCCAACTCCTCATGTCGTCCGTGATCTCTTGACGGCGTCCATATGCATATATACAACATGAACTCCTGATCTCGGTCTCCTCTGACCAGTATTCCCTCGGGGTCGAGGCGATCAGGTAGCCTCACCCCGTCCGTTTTACATCTCCTCATGTGATTGTATCACATTGAAGCGGTTCCGATTAGCCCGTTCCCGCAGGAAGCCGTTCAATGTTGCCCCGCAGTTGAGATTGGCTTCGTCGACCCAGGTTGGCTCATCAAATCCTGCCCAATGAACGAGGAATTCTCGGTAGATCCGACCATATCGCGTCTTGTTCCCACTCCGCACATCAGAGATCCGCTCGACTTCGTACTCATCGGCCCCGAGATCCGGGACCCAACTGTCCTCCGGAAGCAGGATCTCATCGAAATCGAGCCGATCCGCCTCATCTACTGTAAGTTCTACTCGCGGCCGATCGGGAAAATCCTTGACCAATTTCAGCCTCGACACGTGAACGACTGGGAAGATCTGGTACCCGGTGCCTGTGATCTCGAGCTTGACGCTGAATTCGTTGATTTTTTCGGCGACTCGGAATGGCCCATGCCAAAGGTGCGCCAATTTCCGCGCGTATCCTTCCTTCACCCGATCTAGATGTAACCAGATGCGGGATCCGTCCTCGATCTGGTGTGATCCGACGTCTTCGTTGTGTCGGTCGGCCCGATCTGCAATGGCTTCTTTCAATCTGGCATTGACTTGTTCTCGGGATTGCTGATAATATCGCTGGACCCGATATCGCCACCGCCGCGCGTCTCGATCGCGCCGTCTCGTACATCCCACCGGCACGACCGGCAGTGTAGCCTCCAATGTCGATCTCGGATCCCACCCATGCACCAAAAAGTGAGGGGTATCTCCTCGGATCCGATCATGAGCTGTGTTGATCGCGAAGGTTAGTCGCTCAGCATACTCGTCCCAATCCTTCTGATCCAGATCGCGAACATACATCTTGAGCGCCCTGGTCGCCGTTTGTACCATTCTTTCTACGGTCCCGCTGGCCTGTGGCCGATATGCCATCGTCACCCGCTGCCGTTGTCCCAGGGTCTTGTTAAACGCCCAGAAGAAATCGGACATGAAGCCGGGTTCTCGA